AGAGAGAGAGAGAGAGAGAGAGAGAGAGAGAGCGAGAGAGACTACTCTTGCATTTTAAACGTGCGCGATACGCTCCCAGATTTCAATTCACCGCCGTTATCACATACGCATATCGCCTTCGAATTAGATGTGGGACGCAATTTAAGGTCAATCATCGTTTAGGTCGTGGCCCGAGTTATTTTCGTTCTAATTACCATGACGTCACCGCCCCCACGCGCCTGTGTTGTGTGCGTGTGTCTATTGTTCGTCATTCCGTTCTTGCTGGAGATCACGTGACGAGTTCATTCATACCCCCTCTACTGGATTGTTGAACAGGATGTTGACAAATTAGCGTCCACTCCTACGCAGTCAGAACATGTTTTTCTGTTTTTTTCTTCGCTTCTTCGCGGAAACGAGAGCCCACCATTTCGAGACCCGTCATTTGGAAACGTCGTCGTTATAGGTGTTTAGCTAGCGAGGCAACATGGATGAAGCGTGCCATCGCGGGTTCATGTTGGTCGGATCTGTTCTGCCGTGAACTTCTGGTGCTAGAGGGAGATCTTCCCGAGCGGCGTATACTCGGCAGCACAAGGACGACAATTTGAGAGAAATTACCTGAGAAAATTGAAAGAGAAAAAGAAAAAAAGAGGGAGAAAAAAAACACCCGGTGAATTTTTTTTGCTACGGCACAATGCGATTGAGGCATAAAGTCACTGCTTACTATATTTAGACGTGATGATCTTGGTTCGAGACGTGGTACGTGGAGCATACGTGTGCGTTCGTGCGTGCCACCCTGCGGGGCGTATACGTGTGCGTGCGTGCGTGCGTGCGTGCGTGCTTACACGCACGTGTTCGGCGTGCGTTTATAAACAGACATGAATAATTTTTAAAGTACGAAATCGACGAGGCATGGAGATTGCAGTGGTGTTGTTTTTCCAGCTACGCTTACTATTAGGGATGGTAATGCCTCAACTAACCGTGCTAAAATTGTTACAGTAAATACGGCCTCTGATTCGGCCACTGTCGTCATTGCTATATTTGCTTTGCTAGCGTTCCAGCTACTATTGCGGCTGCTGCTTCCGCTGCTGCTGCTGCTGCTGTTACAGCTAGTCGCCAATGTCTGCCCAGTATTGACAGCGCCATAGAGTCAATTGAATTTCAATTTATATACCATTACTTTCCACCTGATGTGTGCGTAGACACAGAATCGGCTGCCTCTGGCGGAGCTGATGAAGAGAAAGGCAGTATGTGCGTGCGTGTGTGCGTGCGTGTATGCGTGTGTGCATTCATTCGTCGTGTGTGTGTGTGTATGAATGTCTGAGAGAGAGAGATAGGCAGAAAGAAAGACAGACAAAGAGAGACAGAGAGAGAGAAAGAGAGAGACAGAAAGAGAAACATTGAAATTGAATTTCAGCGCACGTTGTCTCGTTTCTGACTATACTATTTTCCTTTCGATTCGCGCGGCGCACGTGCTTCAAACCGAGAGAAGCCTGCAATGATTTACTGACGACGTATATCTATAAATCATGCGCGCACGTATGCAAACATTGACGCGTTCTTCACGTTTCACATCATCGTGCGGCTGTACCGCACCGCAGCGCCTGCCATTTACTCTGCCGACGACGTCGTCCGTCGTCGATCCCCGCATCCGAACGCAACTCACTGTTTGACATTCTGTATCCGATGACGTAGAATTAATCGCTCTGTGTGTTTGATTACCTGGCGGAACCTTGGCGGAGTGCATTACCCGAGCCAATCGTCGAGCATTTAACCCTAAAAATATCCACTTGTCTAGCCATCGGACAATCCAACATCAGGCAACCCCATATTCGCCGATCCCATATTAAACAATCCTATATCATGCAAGCCTATATTGAACTGTAGTGGGCAATTCTATATTGGACTATTAGACAAACCTATATTGGTCAAACATATTGGACAGTCCTATTTTTGACTAATCCACATTGGACAATCTTCCAAATGCAATACTATATTGAACAGTTCTCTATTGTACAATCCTTTATTGGGCAATTCTATATTAGACAATCCTATAAGAACAATCTTTATTGAACAGTCGCATATTGAAAATACTATATTGGTCATTCAGATATTAGACAATCCCGCACTGGACAATCACATATTGGACAATCTCGTGGCTGCACATAGTCAGTTAGACAAACAGACGCGTAACAGAACGCGGCATGCGCACTTGTTTATCCGGATCTCTGACAATTATATCATCAGATTCTGTTGTTCATCTTTTTCCGGCCGCTCCTCAGAGAGGGCAAGAGTCGTGAACCCGTCTTACACAAGCAATGCCTTCGCCATGGGAGGAGGCCCTAAAGAGATCACGGGGAGTCGTGTAGGCGCTTACGTGGTGGTCAGAGCAGCTCATCGGTGTTGTAATATTGGGGCGTCTGTACATGCAGTGATGAGCGCACACCCGCGCGCGGGGGAAGGAGGTGGACCTAGCTGCAGGACCACCCACACGCGCCCCGGCGCTCCCACGCATGCGGCATGCAGTGACAACTGCATAATATGTAATATTATTCGTGTCAGCGGAAGCGGAGTGTCAAATACGACGGACGTGCAGCGTTGTGATGCTGCTGTTGCTGGCTGCTGCTGTTGCCGTCGTTGCTGTTTTTGCTGTTGTTGTTGTCGTTGTTGCTAATATACTGCTGCTGCTGTTGCTGTTGCTATCGTTGATATGTTGTTGTTGTTGTTGTTGTTGCTATTATACTGCTGCTGCTTCTGCTGTTGATATTGATGTTGTTGTTGCTACTATACTGCCGCTGCTGCTGCTGTTGTTATTGTTGTTGTTGTTGTTGTTGTTGTTGTTGTTGTTGTTGCTGTTGTTGTTGTTGTTGTTGTTGTTGCTGCTGCTGCTGTTGTTGTGTACGGCGCAAGTACCGACTGAATGAACAGAACATCGCACGAACGGACAGACTGATGATCAAGAAACGCCCGCTAGCAGTTC